AGAACAGGATGTGGAGTTGGGGGGACCCCGAAAAAAACTCTGTTGCAATTATGTCCTATAGCTTTTTTTTTTTTAGTTTTCACCACCAGCTACACGTCTTCTTCAGACAAAGTTCGACTCCATTTGTAGGAAAACAGAACAAGGATGAGCTGAAAAGCCAACATCCAACACGAGGTCAGGTCAAGTCCCTTACTGACACTAGTCAGGCTTCTTACGTACCATCCACAACCTTACTTTAATTTCTAGTTTCAACTAAATGGGATCAGAATACAAACTTAATATCCCATTAGTTAGGAGAAGATCTGAAATAATCCAGCAGGGACCATCGATGTTCCAGAAGAACATTTGGGAATGTCATAAACATAGCCTCATTTACCTTTAGATTTCCAGAGTTTTCCCCACCCCTACCTACAGTCTATGGTTCCACCATGTGAAGCTCCAGGTGCATGAAAACTAAAGCAACAATAGCAGCTGCAGCTCTGTAGGCGCTGCTCTTGGACACAAGACGATGTGTTACCGTTCATACTGAAGGTGATCTCTGGTGATTCTTTAGCTTCCAGGTTAAATCCTGGACAGCTTTATTGCTCTGCAGGGCAGCAGGTTGCCGTAGATAAACGTTGATCTTCTCTCACTCTCTGTGTTAAATATAGGATGAAATCTTAGACTGGAAGAAACAGTCTTAAAAAAAAAAAAAAAAAAATGCACGCACTCGAGCCAGAAAAGGATGGAGAGGCGATTATGTTTGGCACACTGGGGTGAAAGAAGCAATAAAGAGGAGGAGAAGAAGGAGGAGCAAAGAGGAGGAGAGGTCAAGTGATGGGAGCAGGCACCAAGTCCAAGGTGGGAATGGCCCACGGTTGGAGCGGATCTGTGCTATAATCCATTATAACACACACACACACACACACACACAAACACACACACTCTGTGCCCCCTCTGCAGGGACAGACTAAGCCCAGTCCATCTCTGGGTGTGTCCTCAAAAACCTGACGCAGAAAAGTAGCAAAACTCTGCGTCTTTTGGTTGAGAGTTGGGCGTTAAAATAAACACACACACACACACACACATTTCCAAACACACACGTATATACACACGCCAGGGTCCAGCAAAGTTTTCCTGCATCAGTATATGTGTTTTAACTGTGTTGTCCACCGAGGGGCGCTCCACCCTCCCGTCTCTTCATCCATCTATCCAGCTTCGTACTTGTTTCGAGGGAGGGAGGCTCACAGTTTGTTTAGGTAGTGATGCTCGCTGAGCAGGAGGAGGAGGAGGAGGAGGAGGAGGAAGGAGGAGGGGGCGGAGGGGGGAGGCATAGCCTCAGGGTCAGTGGGAACTTCTAAAATAGAACCTCTCTTCTTTTGTATATAGGCTATTTAAATATACACACTCCTCCGCGGGGGCCGCGTCTACAATCATTAGCTTCGTAATAAGAGTATGATTCCATCGTAAGGACAGTGATGATAATAATCGTAATAATGGTAATAGTAATAATAATAATAATAATAATAATATAGTCGTAGCAGTTTTTGTCAGCAGCCATCACTAGAACATTCAGGGTGATAATTGCATATGTACAAAAACAAATGTCATCATTTACATCCCAGAGCTGGAGGCTAGGGGTCAGAGTCATACGTGGTGGAGGAGGAGGAGGAGGAGCAGTGAGGAGGAGGTGAATGCTGGTGTATGTGTTATCTGAGTCGCTTTTCTGCTGAGTAGATGGACATGTAGTAGTCGTTGCTGCCGACGGCCAAGTGTGGCTGTAGAGGGAGACAGAGAGAACGTTATATATATGTTATATATGTTATATATATATACACATATATACACATATATGTATATATATGTGTGAAAGGTAAGGATCTGATTAATTCAAATGCTAAAATCAAAGCCAGACAGCGTCGGAGTGGAAGACAAGGTTGATCGGTTCTTGGAGTCCCGTCACAGGAGCAGAACAACAATCAGACGAACCTCCACCGTCTTCTAATGCACAATTATAAAGTTAGCTGGAGCGAACTGCATCTGCACTGAACTAATGGAAAACACATTAGCTCCTGAGAACCCATGCTAATGAGTTTGCTAATTCAGGTGCCAGAGGTAGAGAAGGTACTTTCTGGAACCGATGTCTGGAACCGACTCTGGCGGATCCCGGTTCTCTAGTGTCTGAACTTTCTTTCACTGCACTGTTAGTTTCATCAAAAGTTGACATGGACTTGAGCAAAAAAAAAAAAAACCTCAGACATGGTCTGGCACTGAAAAACTGACTTCAAACACTTACGTAACTTCATAAACATCTGTGTGTTTTTTACCCAGTTAGGATGGAAGGCTAAGCAGCTGATGGCCCCGATCCTTTGTCCCATGAATCCGTCGTAGTACTTGATGTTGCTGATCACGTCGCCATTGGCGTTGTAAACCGCTATGAACTGGTTCATTGATCCGCTGGGAGACAGAAGAAGAAACAGAGAGAGATGGAAGAAGTGTGTGTATGAGTGAGAGAGAGACAGAGAGAGCATTAGAGTGCATTAGGGTCAAAAAATAGAAAAATTGTCTTTTTGTGACTCATTTTTAAACACGGCCATTTGGAGTTAAATCCTCGTCTGCAGGTCCGTTTAAAAGGTAAACAAAAGAAAATCGATATCTCTGCTGCTCTCACTTTATTTTTACTCTTACATATTCAGAAGCACAACAGGGAGGAGAGCGCTTGAAAAGCTTTTTGCAGGAGAAACACACTCACCAGGCGAACAGGTTGGCCTGAGGGTGGATGTCCAGGGCTGTTAGACCCTTCACCGTCTGCAGCACGTTGATGGAGTCAGGTGACCGGGGATCGTAGAAGCGAACGTCTCCATTAACACTGGTGGGACGGTGTTAGAGGTCAGTACGAGTGAGTAAAAAAAAAAAAACATACAGGACTGTAAGATGTACCTGACACTGATGACGTGACCATCTGTCTCCTTCTGTAGATGAGCTTTGACCACCCAGGCACCGTGCTCTCTGTACGTCATCACTCGACTGCGGGGATGCACAGAGATAAAGACAATGAAGAGAAAACACAACGCACAAAGATACGAAGAAATTTAGTCTCAACAAAGGTTGTGAAAGACCTTTGAAATATTAAAATATGACGAGATAGAAACTCCTTCTTTTACGCATTGAATATTTATGCATATGTTTTTGAACATCTACCACTAAATGTCTATTGTTGAATACGCTGTTATACATGTAAAAGACCACTGGGTGGCACCAGGCGATCGGGGATGAATTAAACAAGGGCGACTGCATTTGTGCTACACAGAAAATATATAAAAATAATAATCCAACACGTTCTGCACATCCGTGTGAAACCAGGCAGCAGTTTCAGGAAATAACCAGGTAGATGACGTCACAGGTGACAGGAAGTCATTATCAGCTCCCTGGCAACCAGTGAAAGCTGGGATACACGTTTAACGTGTTATTTTGTGACGTTGAAAAAAGTGAGTCGTTTTCCTAGACTAGAAGCCCTGTAATAACCAGTCCTGTCCTGTCACTGTCCGGCCGACTGTTCTGTCACTGTCCGGCCGACTGTTCCAACCGACTGACGTTGAAAAAAGTGAGTCGTTTTCCATGAGAACAGACTAGAAGCCCTGTAATAACCAGACCTGTCCTGTCACTATTCCTGTCACTGTCCGGCCGACTGTTCTGTCACTGTCCGGCCGACTGTTCTCTCTATGCTGAAAAATATGACTGCAGGCCCGAGGGGGTAACCGTTAAATTAGCGTTACTTAAAGATTTATGGCTGCTTCATCTGCTTTGTTTTCCCCTCCACTGGGACTAAAATTTAAATAATGTTTAACTATCTAAGCTGCAGCGCCACCAGGGGTCTAATAAAGGTGCTGCCAAACTCCCAGAGGGAGATTTACAGCAAGTCATATAATAAATATAGATTAGAGAAAAGAGAACGGGGATATATAGGCCTGTGTGTGTGTGTGTGTGTGTGAGTGTGGGGGGGTTACCCCATGTAAAAATATATACTTTCAGTGTAGTTTGGATAAAACAAAGAGAATAAACGCCCCTGTTCGCTTCAAAATACTCATGTTCATGTTCATGAGTTCATGTTAATGTGAATTTAAAAGACATTGGGTATATACATATACATATATATATATATATAGAGAGAGAGAGAGAGACAAAAATTTACAACCAAGTGTTTATGTGCTAACTGTTAGCTCTTGCAGGCTAACTATATTAAGTCATTTTTTTACACAAACTCAAGAAAAATTTTGACTTTGCTACAGTGTGTTTTACTAACCTTAGATCTACCTCTTCCTAATAACAGTGACATGCTGTATCTCTTTATATCCACTATATACTTGTTTGAATATATTTCAGGAATGTTAGTGACATATTTAGTCTTTCTGGTCAGCCATTCATGCAAAGGAAATGTACAGGCTGAGGAAGAAAGTACTGCTCCACACCGATAGGGGGCAGTGAAGGGCACTGAGGTTGAGGTGCCCTAAAGGCACAATCAGTAACAGCTGTACGTTGCTGTGTTATTGGGTTTGAAAAATCGCAATGTGAAAAGTAAGTAAAACTGTTAAACAGGTTATAATATGTTTTGAATATTTCAAATGAAAACTAACAGAAACAGAGTTGCAATAACTTACATTTTGTATATTTCGTACATTTGTACAACATTGTATATATGTGTCCGCAGCGAGGGGCGTTCATGTACCATCGGAAATTTGAGAATCCGATGATTAAGGCACTGAAACAAACCTCGTTTTCCAAGTTTGGGACCCTTAATAAATAGCCTGCGACTTAAAACCCAAGTGCGCTTATATTCTGAATTTTACGGTACGATACATTTCCTACAGTGAAACCTTGAGAACAATAACAGAATTTTTCATCAAGGACATTTCATCCTGAGTCACTGCCGCTAATATGTGACTTTGGTGTTCTCTTATTCTCTGGATAAATATGTAACAGCGAGAGAGAAGAAAAAGGTCAGGGGTGTAATGTGATCAAATCGAAGAAAAGAAGAAGAACTCAGCGTGTGCTTCACCTTTCGTTCGGAGCCATCCTCCTGTCAAAGACACGAACCGATCCGTCTCCAAGACCTGCCGCAATGAGCGAACGCTGGGAGTCACATGACAGACTGGTCACACAGCTGTCAGCTCCGGTCGGGATGTCCTGTTGAAAACACACACACACACACACATCACCTGTTTAGGACTAATAAAAAAAACATCAGCTGAGGTAAGAACCTTGTTACGACACTAATTTCACATTAAATGTTCTCTGAAACCATCCATCATGTGCTGCAGTGACTGCAGCTCATTTGCAGTTGGACGCAGTATCGATATGCAGCCACAGGCCCGGCTGCTCCATTTGTACTTGTATTAGGGCCATCCATCAAGACAATGATTAGCTCACTGGAGTCATTAGGTGAGTGAAAACACAGAAGGAGAAATAAAAAAATAAAAAAATAAATCTGGAACCTTCAGTAATCTTCACTTTGGTCTGACTGAGTATTTAGAGAGTAATATTTGACCGGTACTTGTAAAGATTACAGAACACCACAGGCCAGTACTTCACCTCAACAACTTCTACGTCGTCTATGGGACTTGTTCTACCTCGGAGATACAGTGTAAAAAAAAACAGCATTCTGTTGTAACATTCTTTCTTCAAACTTGATCTTTTTTCCATTGTCTTAATGCAAACCTTTAGACAACACTAAACCATGTTTCTAAACCTGTGGCTAACTGTTAGCTAATTCATTTCTATATGAGAAATGCTTTGGAACATCTCAAGGATGATTTTAATAAATGTATTATCACATTGTTCTTACCTAACCTTATAATTTAAGCTTATACTTAATGCACGTCAAAGTGCATTAAGTTTTACTATTCAGCCGTGACCATCCAAGCCATTCTAGCTAGCATTTAGCTGTTTTGCTATAGTTTGGTGTATTTGTTTTCACCGGCATAACATTAAGGTATGATTGAACATTTACACAACTACTCTTCAACATGTTGAGGGTGTGTCAGACACAGCGCCCCCCTCTGGTGAGCTCATTACCTGGACCTTCATCTCTCTGTCCGTGTCCCAGATCCTGATGACTCGAACATCTCCAGACGTCATGAGGAGACCAGTCTCCTGCTCCCAGTCCACAACCATCCCTGCACCTACGGACCCAACAGTGACAGCACAGTGTTAAAACAGGCTGGTAACTACATGAATGTAGGGGAACACATGAATGACATGAGTTATCGTAATTTCCAGGCTATAAGACGCTACTTTTTTCTCACGCTCTGAAACCTGCGGCTTAAACACTGATGTGGCTAATTTATGGATATTTACGGGCTAACGAAGTTCATACCGCTAGCGATTCACGACTTTTCTGATAGGCTACTGTGTGTTATACTAGTGGCGTATGTCTGTCACAAGAGAGAGAGAACGGTGGCTAAAATTTAAAGTGTTTCTGTTTACCTCTGCTGCGGACAAGCACAAAGTGAAGGGAGTTAGCCCCCGGAGCTAATGTTAGCTACGGCCCCGTAGCAGATCACTAAGTCTCCCCTGTGCATTCCAACTACTGTCAGGGCGCCGATGCAGGAAAGAGCTAACGTGTAACCAGCCGTGTTACAGGCACGGTTCGGGCAGCTGATAGAGAAGTGCGGCCTATATATGTAGAATTATATTAAATTTAGTGGGTGCGCTCAATAGTCCGGAAATTACGGTAAATGAAGGAAATGAAATGAAGGCAGATTTACAAAACTGGAAACATTAAATTGAATATATTAATTTGTTTTCAAACCAATATTCCAATAATCATAATGTGTACCATTTATTTGTGGAGCACATTTTGCCTCTAACATCTGGTCATGCATAAACAAATGAATAAAATGAAATTAAAGCTCAAAACAAAAACTGAAGATGAAGTTTCTGGAATGAAGAGGTTTGAGGATTTATAAGGAAAAAAAAAAACAGTGCGCACACACACATCTGTTAAACTCTGAGCATGTGTTGGCCTCCATTAATTCACCAAATACAATCTGCTGGGGGGGTTTGAGCTGCTGCTGATTCCACATGTCACAAGTCAAACCCGGGAATCAGTAATAATGACACCACCGAGGCCTCAGCAGGACCACGGTTTGGCTCCTGGTGGGACCGTGGGAGACGCTTGGTGACAGTTTGTGACAAAACATTCTCAATAAACTCTGAGGTTCTGCAGAGACAGAATCACATTTTCACGCCGACAAAAATGTAGCCTTGCATTTCGCAATCTTTGCTGATCAGAAAACAACCGGGAGATGCAAACGCTGACCCTGGAAATGAGCCCGTCAGCAGGTCCTGGCTTTGACAAAGACAGAGAGAGAGAGAGGGAGGGGTGGGTGAGAGGAGCAGGAGCTGAAGGCAAGACGACTTCTCCTCCTCCTCCTCCTCCTCGTCCTCCATCTCATATGTTGGCAGTCCGGGCCAGAAACAAGTGAGCAGTGCCTTCTCAGCCACGCTTGGCCTGTTGGCTCACTGATGCCTGGCAGAGGAGTCAGGCCACAGCCTGGAGCAGCCAACATGCAAAAAGTCAGTTTCTTGTCATATTATTCTGATAGCGGTGAAGGTGCGGCAGAAAAGTAAAATAATACGGCTTTTGTAAATAAGACTCACTTTGACAGGTGTGTTGACCTGTGTCAAGAGACCTTTGAAATTATAACAGAATCTGGTCAGTTTATGTAATAAAAAATATGTCACCGCGATAATCACTAAATAATATATTTAATATATTTTTTCTGCTCGACCTGGTACCAAATGACCAATAGCGCAGTACCAGTCCAGGGCCTGTTGGTCTGGACTACAGTAAGCTAGAGGAAGTGAGGTGAAAGTGTTAAACGTCCAGTTAAGTTTAACCAACTAACCAATTAAACAACTAACTAACAATATTAGCCTGAAGAAGCACACGCTGACGTCTGCTACGACGTTTTCAACGTCTGCTGCTACAGCACACTTTCACTCTGCCTCTCTACTTTCATCCCCATCTTCCTTTTCATTAGTCAGCTCCTCATCTTACTGTATCATCACACTCAACAGCCGACTCTAAATTAGGTCGTCAAATTCAGAAACATGTTTGTTTGGAGGGAAGGAGGTGGTCAGAGAGAGGTTTTTGATCTCGTTCTTCTGCTGGTTCTTTACATGAACCCCCTGTGTGAGTCAAAGCCAATCATCACTTATTGACTAGTGGCCCGATGCCATCGACTTTGCTTTGATTGGTTTAGGCTGAGAGGAAACCCAGGTCCATTCTCAATAAACTCTGAGGTTCTGCAGAGACAGAATCACATTTTCACGCCGACAAAAATGTAGCCTTGCATTTCGCAATCTTTGCTGATCAGAAAACAACCGGGAGATGCAAACGCTGACCCTGGAAATGAGCCCGTCAGCAGGTCCTGGCTTTGACAAAGACAGAGAGAGAGAGAGGGAGGGGTGGGTGAGAGGAGCAGGAGCTGAAGGCAAGACGACTTCTCCTCCTCCTCCTCCTCCTCGTCCTCCATCTCATATGTTGGCAGTCCGGGCCAGAAACAAGTGAGCAGTGCCTTCTCAGCCACGCTTGGCCTGTTGGCTCACTGATGCCTGGCAGAGGAGTCAGGCCACAGCCTGGAGCAGCCAACATGCAAAAAGTCAGTTTCTTGTCATATTATTCTGATAGCGGTGAAGGTGCGGCAGAAAAGTAAAATAATACGGCTTTTGTAAATAAGACTCACTTTGACAGGTGTGTTGACCTGTGTCAAGAGACCTTTGAAATTATAACAGAATCTGGTCAGTTTATGTAATAAAAAATATGTCACCGCGATAATCACTAAATAATATATTTAATATATTTTTTCTGCTCGACCTGGTACCAAATGACCAATAGCGCAGTACCAGTCCAGGGCCTGTTGGTCTGGACTACAGTAAGCTAGAGGAAGTGAGGTGAAAGTGTTAAACGTCCAGTTAAGTTTAACCAACTAACCAATTAAACAACTAACTAACAATATTAGCCTGAAGAAGCACACGCTGACGTCTGCTACGACGTTTTCAACGTCTGCTGCTACAGCACACTTTCACTCTGCCTCTCTACTTTCATCCCCATCTTCCTTTTCATTAGTCAGCTCCTCATCTTACTGTATCATCACACTCAACAGCCGACTCTAAATTAGGTCGTCAAATTCAGAAACATGTTTGTTTGGAGGGAAGGAGGTGGTCAGAGAGAGGTTTTTGATCTCGTTCTTCTGCTGGTTCTTTACATGAACCCCCCGTGTGAGTCAAAGCCAATCATCACGTATTGACTAGTGGCCCGATGCCATCGACTTTGCTTTGATTGGTTTAGGCTGAGAGGAAACCCAGGTCCCTCCTGTGACGTCAACAGCTCCACTCGGGTGTCGCATTGTCACACTGTTAGCGTGGGCGTACGTATGTGTTCCAGGAGGGGAAACAACTTCACAGGGTTTTTCTCTCAGTCCGCCTCGGTTGTGCTGCCTCTTTGGAGGCTGTGAGGAGGAACAGAATGAGGAGAAGGTGTTGATAGTATTCCCTTTGCAGCAGGCAGCTCAGAAGATACAGATCTGAGCGAGAATGAAAGGGTCAGAGAACTGAATGCATCTCCACACAGCCCGAGCACAGGAATGGATATTCTTTATGAAATGTAACAATGAAGTTTTGATGAGGGTTTTTGTGTTTGTGAAGAATACTTAAAGGTTGATCATATGGAGTTCAGACTTTAAAAATGTTGGTCTATGAGTGAAACATTTTAGAGAAAAGTGATGTTTTTGGAAGAAATAAAATGCTTAAAAACAGACAACAGACAATGTCTGTGAGGGGAAAACAAAATCTAGGCCACCTGGTAAGATGTTCTTTTCAACATGAAAACCACATAGAGTTCATGGGTTCACTTATAAATATAGGTTCACCCTAAATTGCTACAAAGTGGGCTTGGAACAGGATCCATCCGAATCCAAATGTTCTAAGACAGATGTTTTAAAAAAAAACTGAATCCAAATGTTCTAAGACAGATGTTTTTTTAAAAAACATGTCTACCAGGTGTCTCCAACAGCTCAATGATTGGACTGTAGCCAACACTCCCAATAGATCACTTGAGTCTGAAAAATAAAAGCCAACTCATTTCCATTATATATAACACAATCTTCAGTGGACCTTCTAGTCAGGATGTGGGATTATAAACCCTACTTTCCACCTGTCTATTCAGCTTAGAGTGGATTTCTAAGACGAGCCTGAGTTAGGCCTAACGCACATTGCTCTAGACATAGACTGCTGGAGAAATTCCCGTGGTGCATAATTTACAAATCAAACTGTTTTAAGACAACAACAAAAACAAACGGGTCTGATTTAAGGTGTTCGAGTTAAGACACGTCTCTCAGTGGTGTCCAACAGCTCGGACAACTTTTTATCATGACGTCTTCATTAGATTTAATTTGGTAAGCGTCTTTTGACACATGCATTTTTTACCCAAACACAGAATTACACCTAGCTCTTTTTGAAATAAACGTTTGAAAATGACTCGAATCCAGTCATCAGACGAGGCTAAGAAGCAGGTTGGGACATGGTGCAAAAGACATCCTCCAGATTTCTACAAATCAGTTACGGTATCACAGCCATAGATTATGATGGAATGTGCAGTGCAGTCTCATTCGTCTGCCCAACTGGTATTAAAAATAGTCTGAAACAGTCCATATAAATGGAATTTTACAACGACATGAATCTCTTTATCTCCCCGTAGAATGGACAACGTAACATGAAACTGAGATATAATGACGATCTCGGCTATTTAATCATTCGTTCCTTTGCTGATGGGGGAAACAAGAGAGAGAGAGAGAGAGAGAGAGATTGTTTAATTCCTCTGGACAGCTTCAGGCTCAAACGACGATAGTTAAAAGTTTATTATAGACTTCAATATTCTTAAACTAATCTTCAATTAAATGAACACTAACTCGGAGGAATTCTGGGAGCCTCAGGTTCTGGGTCTGAGAGCAGATCATTCAGTCGTCAATTGTATCTCATACTCCTCCTCCTCCTCAACAGGCTGAGCAGCTGCAGCAGGAAGTGTCCCGGTGTGTGTGTGTGTCTGTGTATTCAAACACACACACACACGAGAACGCAGGTTGATGTACAGAACCTTCAATCCATCGATTCTACATTT